GGAGTTCAGGAAATGTCATAAGTTCGAGGTAGAAACTACAATTAATTGAGTAAATAGTTACATTAAAAATTAAACCTCTATTATCCAGTCTTAAGGCGATTTTTTTATTTACAGTATACTTTATTATGAAATAACTGATACAAGTAGATGTGCTACGTTGGAAGATTATAGAATACTTGGTCAAGTCTATGAATAATTCATATTACGTACGGGTATAGGGCCGAAGTAAAATGACCTTAATATTCCGTGAATGTATATTAACACTTTTTTGGATGGCTTAACAACTTGAATGTGAAAAGTATAGTAAGTACAGTAAGATGTTTAGGAAATACGCTTATTGATTATAATTCGGTGTGATCTTAAAAGAAAACGTAATTTTTTAAGAAAGTTTGCGTGTAATAGCTACACTGCAGCGAATTATGGCAACCAACAAAGGGCTTGGCTCAGCCTGGGAAGGAAATAACCTTCCATAGAATACCTAATAATAATAATGTTTATTACAATAAGTGATGAGAATCGGACACCCTTTTTAGTAGAAATCCTTCATTCCATCGTTACTTTCAGAGTGATAACGCCTGTCCTTTCTGCCTTTTGATTCTTAATCGTGCATAAGTGATTGTAGGTGTCTATATGTCACAGCATTTACGTACGGACTGTGTGCTCGTTTATCAAGTTTTCACTGACGAAAGGAATCATAATAATTTTGTTACATCAGCCAAGCACTTAAGAAAAACTATTTTTTCTTGCATTAATCTAGCTTTCCTAATACCGACAATATCATTTATGCATGTGTCTGTCGCTTTGCGATTATTTATAAAAGAAAGTTAACGTGCAGAAATTTAGTTTATCTCGTCAGGCTTGTGAAAAATAAGCTGTCATGTAAAAATTAATCTATCTAATATAAGTTTATTGATTTTCCTGGTATAATGGTTGTGGTCATCGCGCAAATTAAAAAATTAAAGAGGTATATCCACATCAATATTTGAAAATATATCAATTTTTCATATGTTTTTAATGTAGGCTCAATGTATGTCTTCAAGGCAAGAGTAAATAAAGACTTTTTCTAAGCTAAATCAGTGGGATTTACCACGTTTAGCTACATCTCCACTTACAATCAATTGAGATAGTCATCAGTAAGTAACACTGATTTGTGACAATTACAAAAGTAGTTACTAATTAAGATGTATATGGAAACACACGGAAATCTGGTTATATTTTAATTGTAAGAAAATTGCTTAATTTCTCGGACGTGTAGGTTTTGAGGTGGATGTATCATCGAAAAGCATATGACTACGATACTATACAATACTATATAATACACTATACTACACTACTACAAAGGGGATAAGTCGCTCGCATCCGTAGGCTTCGACCACCTAATCCTAGGCCCACCGTACACGTTTCCCCCGGTTTCCAGAACATTTTCGGTCACGGGGGACCATGGGTGTTGGAAAGCACCCCAAAACGTCGGGTATCAAAAATAAATAAAACGCGATAAAAAAGTAGTTTTAATCAATGATTTATATTACTAAAAATAAGAAGAATCACTAATTAAGAAGAAAGAAAGTTTCTTAAGTACTTATTTAATCTTAAGTGGTAACTAATTAGTTACGCTAATTATTAAATAATAATAATAAAATTATATTTATTTTCTCCCACATATTATCAGTACATTACAATAAACTAAGTAATAGTAAACTTATACAGCTAAATAACAGCTATAAATACTAACTAAATAAGATCTAGGTGGGAGACTGGTGCCCAAACTAGGTTGCCCTGTGCTATGGGATCACCAGGATCCGTTATTAACAGAAGTGATATTGCTGTAACTCTTAATAAAGATTACAACTACTTGTAAACAAAAGTACATTAAAATATACTTGTTCAAACGTTGTTGGAGAAACTGTTTAAAATTATTAAAATATATTAGGTGTACATAAAAAGATAAAGCTGTTTAATAGTAATAAAGGTAGGTAAATCTATGTGTCTGTTGAGTGTATGTGTGTGGTGTGTAAGTGTATAATTTAAATTTATACAATACGTTTAAATACTTTTTCTGTCTGTTCGTAGTCTATTGATTTAAGCCATTTAGTTAAAGAATTTTTTGTCTCTCTCTTATTTAACGGATATATACGAGTATTTAATAATTTGTTTGCTAGAATATACAGGACTGGACCTCTGTAATTGAAAAATCTTCGAGCAAATAATAAGATGTAAACCGGTACAGTGTATACATGATGCGGAGCTCTTTTTCTTAATATAGGATTGAATTTATTATATTCCGTTTTTAAGTGATTTAATAATATTTTTGCAAGAATATAGACTGACGTACGGTGAGCAAGTCACATAATTTGTAGAGTTCGTTTGTTGAAAATAATACCAATATCTAAAATATTCGTATAAAAATATTCTCTTCTGAAATCTTAACATTAATTGAAAGCATCTGATATATATAAATAGGAAATCTGAAATAAAAGTTTTCGCATCCATTTTAATGGAGGAAGATAAATTTTGTTTCATTCCTTTATTTGACTTTGAGATAAGTATTTTTATTTTTTATATTTTATTCAATAAGGCTTACCAACTAAATACATAAACGGAACTTATGATATCACACTTTTTGGAGAAATACATTTTACATATGCATTTAAATTAAAGGTATGCACAACTTTCTTATTATAATAAAGACGTTGTTTTACAGATTACAAATTAAACATTTTAAATTAGTGAAAATATAAAAGGATTTTATTTTACAATAATGGCAAAACTAAAAAACAAAAAAAACTAAAAATGAATCTTACAACAATCCAAAATCGATTTTTTAAAAGTATCTATCTTTTCACAGAAGATATCTAAATTACCATTTTGAAATAAAAGGTTAAAAATTTTTTAACATTGTACAAATAGGAGAGGAACTATCATATCTCGTTTTTCTCAAGGACACTGAAAATGGTTTATAATTATGCAGACGAGCCGTAACTCTAGGAACTAATATATTAATTTGTGATAGGAGAGATGGACAATCCACTTCATGGTTCAATAACTTATACAAAAAAATTATGGACAGCTGTTCCTTACGTTGCTTTAGTGATAGCAATTTTAATTGGTTTAACCTATCAGAATAACTACTGAGGCTGCGGTAACTACCATTGATAAAAGAGATTCTTTTCACAAACTTTTTTTGAATATTTTCGATACGGTGAACATTATTCAGATAAAATGGATACCAAACAGAACTACAATAATCCACATGGCTATGCACGAAGGCGGTATACAAAACTTTCATTGCCTGAACAGATTTAAATTCTTTCGAATTTCTTAAGACAAACGCTAACATTCTGAAACATTTGCTAACCGTGTTATTAATATGGTTAGTGAATCTCATTTCAGAATCGAGAGCAATACCCAAATCTCTAACCTGATCGACTCTGTTCAACACAGTTCCGTTTATGTTGTAAGAGCTAGGAAATTTGTTAAATTTACGGGAAAATTTTATGTGACAACATTTATTAATGTTCAAAGTCATACAGTTTAGTCGACACCATTCCGTAACCCTGTCTATGTCCGCTTGAAGTTTTATCTGATCGACACTGTTATTAACTGTTTTGGATAGCTTTAAATCATCTGCGTAAAGTTCAAATTGAGAATTAAAAATACAGTGTTTTATGTCGTCAATGAACATAACAAACAGAATCGGCCCGAGATGGGAGCCTTGTGGAACTCCGGAGGCAGGGTAAATATCCCTAGATGTAAAACCATTCACTACTACTCGCTGCATACGACTACTTAAGTAAGATGAGAACCAATTCAAAAGTGGCCCATGAATACCAAAATTGTTGTTAAGTTTATGTATTAATAATGCGTGATTCACCTTGTCGAACGCTTTACTAAAGTCTGTATAGATTGCGTCTACTTCATTACCCGAACTCATACTAGTAATTATTCTATCCACAAATGTTAAAAGGTTGGTTGCTGTAGAACGTTTCTTTAAAAAACCATGTTGTTGCTCTGCCACGGTTTGCTTTATGTGCCACGATAAACTAGGGCATACTAATGATTCAAAAACTTTGGCAAGAACTGGGAGAATACTAATGGGTCTATAGTTATTTACATTGCTTTTATCACCCGCTTTATGGATTGGAACAATTACAGCATCTTTCCACAGTTTGGGGAAACAACCTTCTACAAGAGATCGATTGTAAATGATATGCAAGGGTCTTGTTAAGTTAGTTTTTGATAAATATTGGATGAATACCGTCGCTTCCTGCTCCTTTACTGGAATCAAGAGTTTTTAAACACTTTTCTATTCTATCACTAGTTATGTTTATCTGACCTAATGTTACAGTTGCGTGAGATGTACTTTCATCAACCAAAATAACATCACTAGCCGATTCATACGCTAAAGCAAAATTGTATGCAAAAAGATTGGTAATGCTGTCACCGTCTCTAGCAACTCTGTCTCTGAATTTCATGACTGATGGTATGTCATTCCTTACTTTACGTTTGTTCTTAATATAAGCCCAAAAGTATTTTGGATTTTTTTACAACATTACTGACAACTTTTTCTATATAACTACTGTAGCATTTTTTTATCATGGTCGACGTTCGTTCTTTCAATATATTATATTCCAATTCATCTAAGCCATTTTTAAATTTTTTGTACTTTTGGCGAGCTTTTTCCTTTTCACGCGATAAACGAATGAGGTTGTAGGAAAACCATGGTGGATATTTCTTAATATTACGTTTCCGGATGGGCACATATTCAGCAATAATTTGATTTAAAATATTGTAAAATTTAGATACAGCGTCATCTATTTTTAAACATGATTCCAATTCTGAGTTCCAGTCTATTTCGTTCAAACGATTTCTTATTATCCCATAATCTGCTAGAAAGAAGTTGTACCTAGGTATAAATTTGGGAGGCAGTAGTCGAGGCCCCCACACAGATAAAAGCACTTGCAAAGGGGATGATATAAGTCTATTCGAGAAATTATATTTTGTCACTCTTGCACTATAATACCACATCTAGAATTACTTAATACTAAATCGAGTATTTTTTGTTGATGGTTCAATACATGGTTGAACTGTCTCAGATCATAAGCAGAGAAAAAGTCAACAAGGTCACGGGCGATAGTGCTGTCATAATTAGTAGGTCTTAGAAATGCATCCCCAGTGGGAGACCAGACAATATCTCGCTGGTTAAAGTCACCAAACAAAAGCACGTCATCATCCAAGTTATCCATAACGCTGCTACATTTATCTAAAAACTGCTCAAGATGAGTACGTTTAAGAGGGGACGGTAAATAAACACAGCATAGGTGTAGCTTGGTGGTGCCCAAAATTAAAGTTATCCATAAATCCTCACAGCGACTTTCGAAAGTGTAATTTCTATATGCATGGATAGGCTTCTTAACGGCAATAAGTACACCTCCACCATCAGCAGCCATTACAATAGTATTTGATGATCTGTCTCTCCTAAGCTTTTGTACACGATTACAAGATAAAACATCAGTTTCGGATAGAGTAAAACCTATCACTTTGCCGATTTGCATCATTGCATTAATCAAGTTTTCTTGTTTATGCTCCGGAAGACAGTGGATTTCTATGTTATTCTGCCGGGAATCTTGTTCCATTACTGACAATCTTGATTCTAGGTCTTTAACTTTGCGTTGGAGCAATTCACTTTCAGTACGGAGTTGCTTGGTATCTTGCATGTAGGCCTCTACTTTAGTCTTCATATCCTCAAATTTGGCATTCATGTAGCTTATAGAATCCTCAAAGCTGCGCATCTCTTTTCTCAAGGATGAGAACTCCTCTCTAATTGCCTCCCTTACTATAACATGTAGCTCTTCTTGCATGATGGTTCTCATAGTTAAGCGTAAATTTTCCGAATCATTATAAGTGTTGCCACTCTCTCGTGCGTTTGTATTGACGTTACATATTTCGTCAGTAGGACTCGCAGCTGTCGTCGTAGAACTCTTAAATGGTGTGTCATCATTCTTTGTCTGACGCTGCGCAGATAACATTTCTATAGCACAATCAGGACATTTCCAGTTCGACTTCCTTTTAAAGTTCGCACTGGTAAGATTTACACACAGATAATGAAACTGCTTTTTACAGCGGGGTTGTGTACATGTGATTTTTTTCGGTACTTTTTAGGGTGTTATTACAACCGCTACAAATATTATTACTCATTTTATTTACCTTTAGATGCAAAAATGTTTGAAAATCTCCAGTACGTTTAAACGAAGCACAATAATGGTCGAGTAGCCGGTCAGCGACTCAACGTGGCACGGTGACGAGTTCCGAATGAGCCAATGACTCACCCACCGGTCGCCGAGTGAAGCGATGCAGCGAGCAGCGAGTGTTAAAATGTTCGTTAACAAAAATTTTCAAAATGATTTCGATTATAACTTTATATTCCTCTTGTTTATCACGATAAGGTTTTCACTTTTTTGTTCGTAGATGTGTAGGCTACAAAAGTATAATAAACAAAGCACCAGATATTAAGAGTTTACTATGGTAGGGAAAATAATTTCACGGAGCAAAACAACACACGTCTTTCCGTCGTCGCGTTAAAAAGCGTTTATATTTATATAAACTGCTTTAAAATTAGCTTGTTAAAGACCAATCAGGCCCTCGTCACCCCCTGTGAACTTTGAAAGATTCTGAATCAAAGGAAAAAAGTAAGTAATAAAACTGTTATACATGTGTTGTTTATGCTTGAAGCCACAGAAGACTTAGGTGAAGTGTAAATTGTAATATTAGATTTGGATTATCACTGCTATTCCTAATAGAGCCCATTACAAATCTACTGCTGAACATAGGCTTCCCCTATAGTTTGTCAAAAGTACGGTCCTGAGCTACCTAAATCCATTGATTGGATATATATTTGGATTAGCTGCCTGACAATTTCTTCTCAAAAATATCAAGATTCTATTCGTTTTTTAGAAATCTATAAAATAAGGGTGTGAGGTAATCCTCCAACCCATTTTAACCTGTGGGTGTCATAAAAAGCGACTATGGGAAATTTCAAAAAAATCATATGTCCGATAGATGATGGTATATTATCTTGCTTGTGCCAAACGTTGAATACCCAGACCATTTACAGCCAGCAGATTTTAAGGCGCAAGACGACTATTACTGCAATTATCATTCCAACTGCCAAGGCCAGGGCGCTTAATCATGATGATGGTATCGGGAGGTTTGCCGCGTAGTGCGTTCATGAAATTTGGCGGCAGAGATTAATCCGAACGATACCTTAAGGCGCGTCCTTGTTAGATACGAAAGAAAATGCTAAGGGAGTCAATCTTTTCGCAGCACCTGTAAATCGAACCGATCGGAAAGCACTCGGTCGTCGAAGTTTTGAACGCGCTGAATGTGGCCAAGTGGAAGGAGCTGGCACTGGGGAGCCGCAGCCCAGAGCCATGTGAAGCCGAACCTGCGTCTTGTTGAAAGCTGTGAAAGTTGCAGGCGGTGTGCCGACCCGAAATACGGTCTCGCTTTGCTAATCACGCCAAGCTTTTAAAAGGCCGATTTGGCCTTCTCTTCCAAGTGATCACGAAACTACACGTCACTTGATATCGATATGCCAACGCTGAGGATTCCGATACTGGCTAAGGAAACTAGGTTAGTGCCTTACAACTGACGAGATACGACGAAGGGGTTCTTTTTAGCGGTAAACGCGCAAACTTGTGTTTTTTGGGAATTTAACTGGACTAGATTTTGTACATGTCCAATATTTTGTTCAGCAAAGACTTCAGACACAAGTTTAAGATCTGTTGTAGCAACAAATCTGTAGTCATTTGAACGTGGTCTTTTTTTTATAACCTTCTCATATAAGACTACCTCATGAGTGGCTGCTGATTATTTGGTCCTCAATTCAAATCCCGAGTCGATCCAAATTCAGTATTGGGGTAATCTTTCAAGATATTCTCAGTAGTAGCGAGAATTTCAGGAATTTGGCGGTGTTTCACACCCGTGCCTTGGAAATAAGAGTTAATTCAAATATTAACGGAATCGTTTAATTGAATTTGAGACCATCTTTTGCAAAATAGACCGAATAATAGCCAGCGCAATGTTTCGAATATGAAAAATTTTGTTAATTTAACTAATTTAATTTAAATAACTAATACTTAAAAATAAAAGGCATAAACACACACTCTGCTAGAATTTACACCTGAATTGGACCGTGCAGTTTTCTTCCAGAATTAATTAAATTAATTCTGTAAAAAAACTAGCTTACCTTACTTCTGAAACCCGTGCATTCTAATCTCTCGCCAAGGGTGTCCAAGGGAATTTTCGTCAGCCATCTCTTTCATCTCTGCACAGCGAGGAAGACTCACTGATCCACGCCAGAAAGTAGAAAGCCGATCTGCTAGGATCTTTTTTTAGGTCCAACTCGACTCTCGATGACGGGAGGAGTACACCGCCGACCATTTCGTTGTGTGAGTGCTTCATGCCGGATGTGCAGTTCACACAGCGCTTGGTTTGCAAAGCATTCCTCCCCTGGACATCCACAAGTCGAGTAAGCCTGACGAAATCCCCCCAATTGTGCTGAGGGCATGTGTTTAAGAGTTGGAACCACTTCCAACGCCTAATTTTTGGTACTCTTACTCCCTGGGCGTAGTCCCAAAATCATGGAAGACAGCTTCCGTCCATCCGATTCCTATAAGGCAACCGCTTAGACCCATCAAACTACAGGCCTTACGCCATCACCTCCTCGTTCTCCAAAATAATGGAATTCATTATAAACTGCCAACTCATGTGGTATCGTGAGAAACACCAGCTAATTAGTGACCGCCAATACGGTTTTCGTCAGGGTCGACCAGCTAGTGATCTTATGGTTTACCTGACTTATCGATGGGCGGAGGCAATAGAGTCCAAAGGGGAGGCATTGGCCGTTAGTTTGGACATTGCGAAGGCCTTCGATCGGGTTTGGCATATAGTGCTTCTTGCAAAGCTCCCTTCCTGTGGGCTCCTGAGAAATTCTACAATTGTATCACCAACACTCTTGCAGATCGGAGCATCAAGGTCCATGTAAACGGTGCATGCTCCGATTTCAAGCCTATTAATGTTAGCGTTCCACAAGGCTGCGTGCTATCTATCACCAACGCTGTTTCTTCTGCATATCAATAGTATGTTGAAACTGGTAACATTCATTGCTATGCGGATGACAGCACTGGTGATGATCTGTACGCCAGCCATGTCGATATTTTTCGGGAAAACGTTTCCGAGTACCGGGAAAAACTTGTGTTTGTAGTCTAGTCTTTGCATAACAAAGTCTCGGACAGGGGGCGACTAAATCTAGTCCAGTTCAATCCCCAAAAGACACAAGTTTGCGCGTTTACCGCTAAAAGGAACCACTTCGTCGTGTCTCCTCAGTTTCAAGGCACTAACCTTGTTTCCTTAGCCAGTATCGAAATCCTCGGCGTTAACATAGCGATATGGATTGACATGTAACTTCGTGATTTCTTAGAAGAGAAGGCCAAATTGGCCTCTAAAAAGCTTAACGTGCTCAGAAAAGTGAGACCGGATTTCATATCGGCACACCGCCTGCAACTTTACAAGACGCAGGTTCAGCCTCACATGAAATATTTTTTTATCTCTGGGCTGAAGCTCCTCAGTGCTAGCTCCTTCCACTTGGCCGTATTCGGAGCAGAACGGTTCGAAACTTCGACGATTTCGACGACGACGAGTGCTTTCCATTCGGCTCGATTCACTGGCGCTGCGAAGAGATGTTGCATCTCTTTGCATTTTCTTTCGCGTCTACCAAGGGTGCGCTCTGGGGAATTGTTCGAATTATTTGATAAACATATCGAAAATATCATTGGCCGGTCATCCAAAGCCTTACTAGCCTTAGTTTGTGATGCGTTTCTCTAAAAACTTCAACAAATTAAAAGCTTGAATTTTTTTTATTGTAGTTTCATAAGAAGTATTTTGGAATATGAATAACAGATATGGAACCTCCTATATAATACATATATATCTCGATTTGAACGTATCCAGATCAAATTCATTAAACTACAGTACACGCGCCCCTTTTCTTCACATAAGTACACGCGTGGCCTACTATAGTAAGCCATTTTAAAATGTCTATTAATTGTATATAACCATTGAATAAAACTAAATTTACGGATTCTATCGCGTTTATTTAACTGATTTTACTTATTTTTAATTCCCGACATTTCGGGTGCTTTACAGCAACCATGGTCACGGAGGGGACCGAGATGCTTGACGTCCCAATGTCATTGTTAGCCCGACTACCTTCAGTTTTTGAATATTAATTTTTGGTCCGATTTACGCAAAACGAACTTACAGTATCTTGAAGTCTTGCAGTGGTACGCTGGGGTTTGGGTTTAATTTTGTTAATTATAGGATCCCAATCAGATAGCAGCACAAAATTAAACCCAAACCCAAGCGTACCACTGCAAGACTTCAAGGTACTGTAAGTAATATTTTCTAGGATTAATATTCAAAAACTGAAGGTAGCCGGGCTAACAATGACATTGTGACGTCAAACATCTCAGTCCCTTCCGTGACCATGGTTGCTGTAAAGCACCCGAAACGTCGGGAATTAAAAATAAGTAAAATCAGTTAAATAAACGCGATAGAATCCGTAAATTTAGTTTTATTAAATAGTATATTTTAGTATATTTAGGTTTAGTACATAGTGTTCGCGTAAATTTAAGAAATCATTATGTATATAACCAATTATATTTAAAACAACGAATGTAATGGAAAATTTATTTATATTTCTTAGTTTAACGAACTTTTTTCTAGTCTAATAGTAAACAATCAACAATTTAGTAAATATAAAAAAAAAATAACAAAAATGGCACTTCTGAGAACCATCTAGTAATTTGAAGTAATTTTAGACTGAACCTAATTATTTTTGTCTTTGTTTTCATAGCAATCAAGACACACTACTGCTTGGTGTTCAGGACAAATCCATTTGTTGCAAGTCTTACACCACTTTTTTGTGGACTTATTTCGGGCCATTGAGCAGAGTGCACATCGACCAACTCGACCTATCTTTGGAATCAAAACGTGTTGAGACTCTAGGGATTCTTGAACTGTGTTGGCCAAAAGTGCTTCTGTCCTAAATTTAAGTTGTCGCAGAAGAGTTTCGATGAATTCCCGGCGAACCAAAAGCGGTTTTATCAAATCGAATGACAATTCGTACAAAAAGTTTCGCCTGACAATTTGTCTTCCAGAACTGTTCATTTGGTTGATTATGAGAGCGTTGATTCCAACAATGTTTATCATATCAAAAAATATTGTTAGTGGCCATCGACGACTATTACGTAGAACACTATACTGCTTACACAAAATGCTTACATAAAATGTCTACACCACATTTAGTACGATTATAAAAATTTACAATCTCTGGCTTGCAGTCTTCTCTGGTATCAGAATCTATAGCAGCATCATAATGCATTGTAGACAATAAATTGACAGCTTTATTTATTTTTGATACATAGGAAATAAGGGTAATATCTTTTGAAATCCAAAAAGAGAACTTTTGCTAAAACTAGACTTCGAAGCTTTGAACTCCTTGGGAATTTCGGGTCTATTAGCTTTTATAGTACCAATAATCGTGATTTTCTTCTGCAATAGCTCTTTAGCCAGAGGAAGATTTGTAAAATAATTGTCCATTGTCACATTATAGCCGAAATCATAAAGGGGATCAAGCACTCTATGGACAACGTCGTTTACCTTTTTGAACTTTTGAAATGGACTTTCCTGTTGTGCTCCAACATATATCTCAAAATTGAAAACATATGGAAATTTCGTGTCGACCACCATGAAACTCTTAATTCCGAATTTGTCCGGTTTATTCGGTATATACATTATAAAGCTGCAACGCCCTCTAAAGCCAACAAGTTGTTCGTCTAGTGTCAAATTATCACTGGGAGTATAGTTTTTGCGACAATTGTTAGTGACTAACTCCACAGGTTGTCGAATTGGTGCCATTTTGACAAGTTCTCGACGCTGTTCTCGGTCGGTTATGTCGTCGAATCTTAGGGCACGTATCGAAAACCGGAATCTAATTATTCCCATGGTAGTATATACAATTTCCAAACCAGTATCCTGAGAGTTATCCCAAATATCTTTTGGTTGCGACGTCCATTTCGTAATACTCCCATGACGTATAATTTGCCCAGAAATGCTCTCATTTCTTCTATATCAGTGGGCTTAGCATCTCTGTTTCTTTGGAAATCGAATTTTATTTTATCTATGTTAATATTGGTGCACCTTACTAAGATTTCCAAGATAAATCCAAAAAAAAGTCGTGAAAAATAAATCAAAACACGACACCGGATCCTTCGCATTCCTAGCAGCGTCTCCTTTTGGGCCTGGTGGTCTTATCCTAATGTTATGCGGTCGAATACGCGTTGCTGGTGGAACACCTTTTTGCCATATAGTTACATTCGTTGATTTATAGACTGGACCTCGCTTTCTGGTTGCTAGTTGCGAGAGTGGGTAGTCATCTGAATCTGATGTTTCGTCAGATGCACTTAGTCTTGTGTCTTCACTTTCGCGGAGTTCTGACTCGTGAACTAGGGCCTGTAGGTCTAGTTCTGTCTGAGCTCCGTCACTTCTTCGAAGTGATTTAGCGCTCTCAATCACTTCTTCATCATCAGTTCCTAACTCATGCATCTACCTTTGTATTTGTGAATCCTCCATGACGTATTCGGAAATAAATCTGAAAAATTACATAAATTAGAAAAAATACATACACTTTTTACAACTTGTAATGACTAACTAAATAATAGTATTAGCATTTAAATACATATAAATAGACAATTGATACTAGGATAGTAAGATAACCGCGCTGTAAGTCAATAATACATCAAAAGTTACATACCTGAATTTGGTGCACCAATACATGCGCGGACTACTATGGTAGTCCTTCACTTTTGGCGCCAAATTACCAATTCGTGAGTCTGCGCTAGGGTCCCGCGTGGTACTGAGTTTGTGGCAAATACAACAGACGAGGCTTACCTGGAATCGCTAGTTTCAGCGGGCTAAACTAAAAATTTATTGCAAAAAGAATAACCGTGTTCTATCATAGTAGGCCACGTGTGTACTCTAGTGTACACCTTTGCTACCGAAACAATGACCACTAAAACTCTTACCTCTATTATGATAAGTGTAGTAAGTTCCATTTCTTACCACTCGAGATGCGAAGGCAAATAGCATATAATTACCCTTCCACATAAGATAGCTTCAAGAGAGGTCGACTATCCAGATTCACTTAAGAATTTAAATATCAAAACTCCAAAAAATGTTAGACGAAAGGTACCTACTACTATCACTACCCACGGCAAAGACTAATTATAGGCAGAATAGTTATATGTACCGTGCGAGCAAGAATTTATAATAACTGTTTACCTTTTTTTTTAAATTATTTTTTTTTTTGCTTTTGTGAATCTGTAATGTTTAGTTATTTAATGCATGATGTTACCTAGCTATGCTTAAGGTTGGTGCGGCAGTGTCCTATTAGCTGTCGGTAACTCACCGCATGCAATTATTTTCACAGTGTTACTATTTGCGAAAACCCATAGCTGGTTTCCTATTGATTAATTGTTTTCTACCTACTCTAATTTTTGTTAACCTCTCAAACACTAAGCGGTCAAATTTGAACGCTTCGATATTCCGTCAAAATTCAAGCGGTCAAATATGACTGCACCCACCCACAGCACTTTAACCCATAAAACTTATATTTAGAGACAACTTTTCTATAAAGAAGTTTGGCATTATAGAATTAATATAAAATTTTCTATCCCGTAGTAGAATAAATGAATAATTAGTCTGTTGATGTTAATTTATATTCTACGTTCATTACGTACGCCATTTTCATTTGTATGTTGTTGTGTTGATTTTTGGATTTTTCTAGTGTTTTACTATAGTTTTTTGTTATAAAATTGTTATAAAAGTTTATGTGTGAATATGATTTGTCTTTTTACTTAAATAATTTTGAGTAATATGTAGAAATAATTGTGATTTTCACGCTGCCGACATCCGTTTGGTATATTTTATATATATTATCAAAATACAATATTTTTTTTTGTAATGAAGTAAAACCTGACTTTTGTTTAGACCAAAGGATAGAAAATTATGTATAAATTTTATAATGCCAAACTTCTTCATGAAAAAGTAGTCTCGAAATATAAGTTTTCATTGTTTTTAGTATTGAGTGGGTGCGTACGTATGCGACCGCTCGGGATTTGCCAGGCGCATGCGATTACATGGGAATTTTATGGGGATTTAAGGGTTAACCGAGGGATTTCCGATTAGATAAATAAATAATCCCAGCGGCCAAATTTCATGAACGCACTACGCGCCAAACCTATTCCACCCGATACCATCAACACCATCAGAATGCTTGGCGGTCCACCGCTGTACGTTTCACTAGGAGTTTTCTTCCGCGTACGACCTATGGACCTTCAAGAAAAGAGCTTAGTCCTTTCTAAAAGGTCGGCAACGCACCTGCAATTCATGGGCAGCGGTAGTCACTTAACATCAGGTCAACCGTCTGCTCGTTTGCCCCCTCTCCCATAAAAAAATCTTCTCTATATAAATCCCACCAAGGGAATTTGCCATACAATTTAATTTGATAAATAAAAAGAAACTGGTCTCTACATCTAACCAAAGAAAAGTTATTCCCAAAGAAAAACGTCGAAATGCTTTTTATCTTGCAATAACTTAATAGTAAAAAGTTTTATGCGTAACTTAAGTAACAATTTCGCAACAAAAACGTTAACCGAAAGGATACTCGAAAGAACGTATAGTGATTCGACGGCGTGTAACACTCTTTTCACACGTAGGTTACCTACATATACAGGATAGCAAGGGTACAGTAAACGTTACATTCAAGGCGTATTATACAATACATGTATATGTCACTTTCCTTCAAAATATCTTTATATTTTTCAAATGTTATATCTTTGGCTTCAGTAACACAGTTTACTTTTGAACTTTTTAAGTTAAAGCTGATTGACTATAATCTCAACTGACGAACTGCCAGTAAGAATGGTGGTTTTAATTGTAATTTAGAATAATTGGATTAGTTTGTAAAATTTATAATTTCAATGTTTCGTTAGGTCAAAGAGTATATAATCACCACGTTCTGTGTGAAGGTAAGAGATATGAAAATAAAGTAAATAATGTATAACATTGCATATGTAAAAGAGTAACCGTAGGCAAAACGGTATAACGTTACCAATCGGAATATAAAAATTTTTCGCGAGATCACTAATTTATTCATAGAACGTATTTCCTTTGTAAAACCTTCGTTATATGAATGAGGAATATGATTGAAAAGGGGCAGGCTAGGTAAGGGCAAGAAGTATACAAGAAAAAATTGTAAAGGGCTAGGTTTTTTTACTATACAATGAGTGAGATATAGTACTGAATTATGTCATCAGTTGGGTGAAGATTCATCATTTTAGTTGGGTAAAATTCATCATTTCGGAGAGGGATAATTTGGAGCAATTAAAAAAAATTAAATTAATCTTAAGAAGAAAACGTAATGTTAAACTTATGTAAGTGGAACACAGCAGTTTGTTCATTAGTGATCTAAAAATGCAGAGGCAATATATTTTTTCATTTCCTGTATCCTTCCTCCTCCTTTATTGGATCCATGGGCTACAGTTGCCATTTATCATGAGCTGAATTATACCCAACTCTACTATTTAATATAGATATAGTAGTGACTGCCTCATTGGTCTAGGCGTTGAAAACACGATTGCTAATCATGAGCACTTAGGTTCGAATTACTGGTTGGGCCAAAAAATTACGTTTTACCGTCAAGAAATTCTCATTAGCAGCTACGAGGCAGAAAGATGACGGTGTTTCATCTCCGTACCTGGAAACACACAAAAAGCGGTTGGTCCTGCAACTATTCTGTCTCCGGTCTTATCGGACTATGAGAGTGAAGGAATAGAGAATGCAGCAGCGCTTGTACATATACTCTGATTCTACTGCGGACATCTTCATTTCTAAATGTATCGCGCAGAAAAACACCGAGCACACTCCTCACCATCACTCGCTGAGCGACCTTGAACTTCCTTAAACGCACTGGTTGTACAATCTTGTTTTCATGTTTTGAGGTCTACCTGACGAGAATATGTATTGCAATCTTCCGAACGCTGATCAGCGTCGATTGACGTCTCGATCGAAGTTGGACTTGCCGAGTCGGACTATTTGTCCCAGGTAAACATGCTTGGCAACAACTTTGAGCTTAGAGCTACCAACCACTACGGGCGTAGGTGTGACATAGACGTTACACATGTTTTTTGTTTTGTCCATGTTTATGTTAAGACCTGACCGTTGGGAGGAACTATTAAGGTTATTGAGTATAGTAGTGCTTAGGTCCTCCAGCGACTCTGCAATAAGGACTATATCGTCGACAAATTGAAGGTGGTGATGTACTCGCTCTCTGCAATTATGAAATAACTGAGTTATATTATAATAAGGAGAGTTTGTATGCTAATAATTCAAAAATTATAATTTTTAAAACTTTTGGTAGTCTGTTTGGGATAACCTTTGTAATGGATGAACTAATTGGGATGAAACTTTAAAAATAGATAGTGAGCAATGTCAGGTGGGAACAAGGGTACTTTTTATCCAAGAAACTTGAAGCTGTTTATAAAAAAAACGATAAAAAATATGGTCATGGATTGGCTTAAGGGTAAATGGTACTTTTACCTTTTTTCTCCATTCCACTACCGGATAACTAGACCCTCGGATAGTCTCCACGTCTTCTTTGTTGACATACTCCTCACTCGAACCAAACGGTCTCCTTCGTCGTTCGTACTCGTTAGGCCGGCTATACATGTTGGCCGAGCGAAGGCGAGCACCAACGTATAAACGGTCCATTTGTCCAGCCTCGCCATTGCTCGTCGACGTTCGCCTAGCTGGCCGAGTGCAGGCGAACGCCAACGTGTATACGGTCCGTTTGGCGTGCCTTGCCGCCACTCGGGATCGCTCGCTACGATTTGTCCACTTCGGAACGGTGTCGGTTTTTCTGCACAAATCAAAGGCGCTCGCCTGCACTCGACAAGTCGCGTCCACATGTTAGTCGTCCATGTCAGTTGGCGTCCGTCGCGGTGCGATATCGATTTAATTAAGTTATTTTAACTTTAAAATAATTTCACTATAACGAGGACATCTTAAGGCTTTTTAACTTTACTGCGGAGTACACTGACGTAATAATTATATGCACTTATTAAAAAAATCATATATAATGGTGATTAAAAGTGGAGTTTAAAAAATTTGACAAAGTTAAAAAGCCAATTCTTTGCTTAATTTTTTTCTATACTGTTAATGAGTATCTTGATCAAAAAAATCATACAGATACAGATTTTTAAATTACATATTTAAAAATCTGTATCCAAAAATGCTTGAATATTTTGCTGTGTATTTACAAAGGATTTCGATAGTTATAGAATATTTATTAGTTAGTTAATTTTACTGTTTTTACATACGAACATTTTGATATTTGTAAATAAGTTAAATTCATCAAAAAAAATTGTTATATCTAATTAGTCAAAATTTGCACGCCTCGACAAGGCAGAATGTATGTGTACGCCAAATTAATAGATGCCATCCAGATAAAGCCGGGGCGGGTCTGTAGTATGTGTAGTGTATGCTCA